GTTCTCATCCTCCTATTGAGTGACAGCCATGACAGCCCCCCACCCCCAATTGCCTCATTGCAGACTGACAGCTCTGCACTCAAACGGGCCTTTTTCACAGCAGCTCTAATAGTTTAAAACGCTTACCATTACCAGGCACAGACACATGGGGGCCGGATAGTGGCCAGGCAGGGTGGATGGGTGTTATGGGGGGGAGGCGTTTTGTCAGACCCGGCCTCTAGCCGCAGACACACCTCCTCCTCTGTCTTTCACGCATGCATCCATTCCCTATCATTTCCTAACAGCAGCTATCTGGAGAAGCTCTCATGAGGGGAAATCCTTGATCTTTTCCGATCAACCTGCCCTGCATTTTCAGTAGAAAACCAACTGACATAAATACTACTATTTAGACGCTCCGCCAGTGAGAGGCAAACCACTGACAGCTGTAACAGTCAGACATTTATTCACCGTTTTTGACCATGACCCCATGGATCAGCTTACACCTTTAGCAAATTGTGCTTTCCAAGGCTACTAGAAAAGATATGAATACTTTCTATGTGTGCAACAAGCCAGCGGTTGTCCTTTTCATAGAGTTTGAAGTGAGGACTATAATTTGTGAAAGCGTGTGTGATTGGGTGAGTGCATATTAATGCATATGTGCCTTTATATCTGAGTGTTTGAGTGGGGCTAAGGTGAGCATTTTGCCATATTTAGAAGCCACAGCCTGGTCTCTGGGGTTGAGGCCACGTCGTTTGGCTGATTGGGTTCGGCATCGGAGGAGGTATTGGTTACATGCTTGTTTTCTCATCCTCGTGCGCAAATGCCTGATGTTTCACAATCCGGATAGTTCAGTGGATGTATGTAAACTGTGATAGTAGCATTTTTATTTTTAAATTTAAAAAGGAATTCCACACAGAAACTAGAGGTAAAGCTACGACTATCGAGCCTCAAACACGCAGAATCCTGATTCACACACAAAAACACATATTTGTATACATGTACATATTCACATAGGCGTTCAGAGGTTGACACAATAACTTGCCAGGCTAGAGGGTTTTATGTGACCTCAGCTGCTCTAATATTCTCCACAGCAAATACTTCAAAACACACTGTTAATCATATCCTGAATGCTGTATTCACTCTCCCAATATATGATGTCAAGACTTTAAAACTCTCTCACTGACTTCACCTGAGCTGTGTGCCGTCCGGCTTTACCAAAGGCTTTCCACGGCGCATGTTCTCCATCTCAACAGCCACTCAGGAAGAAAAAGCATGACCTCACATAAAAATGACCGCGGGAGGAAATTCAAGTGTCAGACGCACACAGAAATATGCCTGAAAAGAGGGGAAAAAGGAGGGGGAACAGTGAACAAGTACCCGGTGATTAATTAGCTAATAATTAAGTCACGGGGTAATATGCATTTTTCAATTAATTAAACCTTGCCTTGCGCCATAAATCAAGCAAAACTGTCATTGTTTCACAAATTAAATATATACATTTCCAAGCAATAATACTGTTGATTGCGTAACTGCAGGGCTCATCAGGGAGGGAAGGCATGACATGTGTGTGGCAGGCATCGACTCAGTCCAATGCCCCAAAACCTTTGACAGGCCCACAAGTCAAAAGGCAGCCAACACGCTGGAGGCCTCTACCAGTCAGACTCCACATCACACACCTCCCACTTCCTGCACGGGACATCGCCAGTGTGTCTGAACAGCATTAGAATCCAGAGGATATGTATGCATTACATACAGAGCGGTTACGTACTTACGTATTACTATAAAGGGAATGTGTTTTTTTTTTTCTTACAGATAAGTGACAGTCCATCATGCATCCAGTAGGCCTATTCAAACAAAGTGACATAATATCTCTGTTTGCTTTCATTGCTCACAAAAGGAAATTCATTACCTCACATTTACAAATGCAGGAGCCAATAGATGCAATCATTATCCAAAATATATTGTTTGTCACCGATGGCAAATGATGGTATATTTTTCTTCCCAATGGTTCAGATGTTAATTTGCTGAAACATGATGTTGTAAAATGACAAAAACAAAGACACACACATGCACACACACACACACACACATAAATTCTAAGTGTCGTGTGACACACAGACGTATAATGAACAATATGAACCACTGCCATCATTATCCTACACAATGTATTTGTTATCACTGCTCCCATAATGAAGTGTCTGTTTGATGGTTGGTACAAAGTCCCATTGCTCAATTGCTTTTCATAAAATGGCATCAATATATCCATGTGGACACACACACACACACACACACACACACACAGACATGGAAACTCACAGTTCAGATGCAATTAATCAGAAATAAAAAATGCTTGCGTGTGCAGAGCCAAGCACTGTCTTATGCTACATTTATTTTACCACTAAAACTATGTTACCTTTCCCCTTTTCTTTTAATATAATGTGAAAAAACTGAAATCTTAACTATTTATCTAAAAGTGGAGGGAAATGAATATGTTAGTGTAGCTATTGCTAGGAATTATTTTAAAAATAACAAAAAAATAAGGCTACAATTTTATGCTTTATGTTCTTTAGTAATTACAATCCACTGTAGCCAATTAGCTACAACCCAATCCTAAATTGGGGAGGTGTCTACAAGTTGCAGCCTGATCTTTTCACTCTCTTTTTATATGTGTCTAAGTTTTTTGAGGGAACTTGGTCTTGTCGTAACCATTTTGCCCTTGGCTAGCATACTAATATGGCCTTGGGTTGGAATAAATTACTGCTCAGATTAGCAGGAAGGATGAAGAGGAGGTTTTATTTTTAGAAATTAGAATATTTGTTACATTATTAAAAGGGGGAACATCCTTTGATTCCTCTCATGTCTTCTTTTTTTTTTTTTTTACCCCCCTTCTTCCTTACTGAGATAGTCCCCAAACTGCCTACCTGTGTAAAAACAGAAGTCTTCAGTGGACTTGAACATGGCTTAGGGACATGAAAGCAGCATGTCTCTCCCTCCTGTAGCCCGGCGTTATGCTCGGCACGCCACACAAACTCTGAATTTACTGCCACAGCATATTTCTCCCAACCCTGCAACTCCCCCGATCCTGCCTTCTTCATTATTCAATCAATCTTTTGTTGTTAACGTATGTGTTATTAATAGATGGTGGACAACTATATGCAAATAAAAAGCACAAAAGCAAAGAAAGGTTAACAACAGAGCTGATTAAAATCCTCTGAGAAACCACGTACAACTACCGTTTTTAACAGTTATAGTAAGTGCCAGGGAGTACATTCTTTTCGATTTAACCATCAGATCAGATTCAGGTGTGTTTCCATTGGACAACACCGTCGGCCAGCCGGCGTAATAAGCAATAAACTCAGACAATGTATGTGCGCGGTCGTCTTGCGTGCCCAAGGGTGCTGTCGCTGCGTCGACCTATCAAAAAAAGAAAAGAAAAAAAAACTTCCTCTCGCTAATGTTGTTTTCTCAAATGATTTTATGACAAGGGAGCAACAAGGCTGAAACAGGATTAGTCCACTGTGTCTGAATCCATTTAGCTAAAAATTGACCACGTACTGATTTTATTTTAATCACAACAGACCCTTTTAATTATTGCAGTAATTAGTAAAATATATGTGCCTTCACTTCATATTGATCTATATTGTCTGTACAGTTAGTGATGCAGAGT